ATTTAGGTTAGGATTTAAGTAAACAAACAGAATTTTAGAAATAAAAATAAAATCAAAATAAATAATTTACAAACAATAATAACAAGAAACCATTTTTAATTAAGTACTAAAATGAAAGTATATGAAAAACACATAATAAAAAAATGAGTGGTAGGTATTAATAAAATAAATTTAGTATTGTTTTATCTTGAGCTAACATAATTTATCTCAATAATTATAGTCATAAAATTGGACATTGGGACAAAAGCTGCCTATTTTAACGACTTTTAAATGGTCTTTCTTCCAAAATACATTTAGCCGTTTTGGAAATTTTTAGTTCTTAATTCATGCTCTATTTAACTTTTTTTAATATCGAGAAATGAAACATGAATATTTCATAGCTGTCTTTCCTGTGTAAAGATTCAGTTCAATATTATTTCTATTGATACTTAAAGACTTGCAAAAATTTTTAAACTATGTCCTAATTTTAGAATAAAGAAAAAATGGTTTTTCGAGTCCTTAGTTTAAATGTATGGGTCTATATTTTGCAGTATGTTCTATTTTTTCAAGGACATGAATATTTTCATTGAAAATTTAACACCATTTTTCAACTTAACATAGGACTGCATTTTTTAGTATTTTTAAATATAATCTAGAAAAAAAAATTTATATCACAAAAAAAAATTATATTACAAAAAAAAATTATATCACAAAAAAAATCTATTTGAATAATAATTTCTAATTTTTTAAATTAATATTTATTAAGAGAACTCTTTGTCCAACAATTTTTTGAAAATTATTTTATAAAATTGGCCTTACAGAAAGTAATTAAATAGGTATATTTCCTATATTATTAGGCAGTGTGGATTCATATATACTCACAGTTCTAAAACATAACAAGGCTCAAGATGTGAAATATTGTCATTGATGCTGCAACTGAGCTATGTCATGAAAAACTAATTTTACAGGAGACTATAAAATGATAATAAGCACATTAGAATTCATACTTATTGCCAGATATTATAAATATATTTTTGGTATGAAATACTGACATTACACATTGCAATGCATGAAGCACTATTGGTTGCATATTTTTTGAAACAAAGTGAATTTTTGATTTTTTGTCAACAAGTCTTGCATTATCAACGATGATATAATCTAGATCCTTAAACTTAAACATAAAATGGGCTGTGAGCACTAGTACCAGTGAAGTTCAAACCGAGCTCACAGGGATTCTTATAGCAGCAAAATAATCCAGAAACAATATCACTGGAAGGAACATGCTCATCTATACAGACAGTAGACAAGCAGTACTCACCTTGGACAGACAACACATTTACTCATGGTTAGTATTAGAATGTCTCAAAGCTTTGGCTGAAGTATCCATTCAATATGGTCACATTAAGATCGATCAAAGTTCACATCACTTTGAAAGGTAATTGTCTTGCTGATTCACTAGCCAAGAAGACAGCCAACCAAATACTTTTTATACTAGTTCTGCCATTAGACTGACAACATCAGTAGTGATAAACCTAATTATTAAAGAACATTCCTTTGTGAAATGCAAGGAAAGATGGGATGAAACAAGAAGCCAGAGGTACCAGGGAGCTTTTAAGTTATCCTGACAACATTACAGCAAACAAATTCCTGACTATGACTAGACAGAATCTGTGCCTGACCACAGGCATTCTGACTGGCCATTGCCAAGTACGGAATCATCCTCATTAGATTTGTTTTCATTAGTACTGTGGGCCATGTAGCCTTCCCCACCTTGACCTTTGCAGATCTATCGTGGATATCTTCCATGGTATGGGGTTATCAGAATCTGCACTCTGCAGGGGATGCGAACAAAAAGATGACACCATCGAGCATATCCTCTATGATTGCTCGACACTATCATTTTATTAGAATATTTGTGTTCAGCGAGTATTGGCTAACACTGGCCGATATAAGAGAAGCAACTCTTAGCATCATCTACATCAAATCTGTAGGCTGGCTGACGAGCTAAGAGGGGCATATTAATTTAGGAGGATGCACAAAGGACCTAGTTAGGCATAAGTGCCGTGGGGCAACAAACCATATACACATTACTGATACAGATAATCTTAAGTCTTGTAACAACCAATTTTTACAAACAGGTTCAATAAAAACAACACATCTGATATTACAACTGGCAACAGGGCGTTATCTTAAGTAACACTTATCCCTATATCTGTTAGCCCTATTTCATGTATTTTCTGAAACATTCTGATTGAATGATAAAATATTAGGTATTCCTTAAAAAATAAATTTTATAAATTTATGGACAAGTTAATTATAACTGAACGTTATAAAATACACCAAAGGTTTATTTCATCTAATTAGCAATATCCTTTGAAATTAACAAAATGCTATTAAAAAACATGTCAGCACTGGAACAAATTTAGAGCACCTGCTTGATTTAACTAGTGCTCTATTTTTAGATTTCTAAATAGATACTATATAATGAAACGATCTATTAATAAGTGCCAATAAGTAGGTAAAAATAACATTGCTGCCAACTTTCACCTTTAACTTTTTGTAACAGAGTATTTGTAATTCTGCAGATTCCGACCTACCTCTAGCAGCTGAAGACATGGGAGTCAAAAGAGAGATTCCTCAAGGTGGAATAATATTGGAGGAAAAACCTTTTGTTTATATTTTATGTTCAAAATTTAGGACCGAAAGATGTGATTTCTGTTTTAAGAAGTAAGTTTTTACTTTCTATGTAATTTTAATGTAATTAGGTATTAAAAACAGCAAATATAGGTACTCAATAAAAAAATAAATAATGAAGGAGGAAGTTTTTATTAATGATTTATTATGAATTGTTAGATGTATCTAAAAGTGTTTACATTGTTCAGAATGAAAAATTGCTACAAACTAACTGAAAGCTTAATAAATTTTATAAACACATTGGAATCTGTCAGCTATTGTGTTTATAAATAAGCTGTCTTAATTTTAATAATGTGTTAAAATTGTTTGAAATTTTGAAATCTGTTTCATGTCTTCATTAAAAATAAATTATTAGAAATGTGATATTTTATATTAATATAGTTTGAATTGCTTTTTACAAAAAGAAATATATAATATACTAGCTTTTGCCCGTGGCTTCGCACGCGTGGTGTCGTGTTTATAATTTAAAAAATTGAATCATTTATAATTTTTATTAATTTTTATTAATTATTATTAATTTTTATTAATTTTTATTAATTTTTATTAATTTTTATTAATTTTTATTAATTTTTATTAATTTTTATTAATTTTTATTAATTTTTATTAATTTTTATTAATTTTTATTAATTTTTATTAATTTTTATTAATTTTTATTAATTTTTATTAATTTTTATTAATTTTTATTAATTTTTATTAATTTTTATTAATTTTTATTAATTTTTATTAATTTTTATTAATTAAGTTTTATTAATTTTTATTAATTTTTATTAATTTTTATTAATTTTTAATAATTTTTATTAATTTTTATTAATTTTTATTTATTTTTATATATTTTTATTTATTTTTATTTCTTTGCATTTATTTCTATTTATTTTTACTTATTTTTATTTATTTTTATTTATTTTTATTTATTTTTATTTATTTTTATTTATTTTTATTTATTTTTATTTATTTTTATTTATTTTTATTTATTTTTATTTATTTTTATTTATTTTTATTTATTTTTATTTATTTTTATTTATTTTTATTTATTTTTATTTATTTTTATTTATTTTTATTTATTTTTATTTATTTTTATTTATTTTTATTTATTTTTATTTTTTCTTTCGTAAAAAATAATTTTTTTAAAGTATCCTATGTTACTTCTAATACCTCCAAAAATATGTGTACAAAATTTCATGATGATCGGTTAAGTAGTTTTTGCGTGAAAGCGTAACAAACAAACTTACTTTCGCATTTATAATATTAGTAGGAATAAATGTGATTTTAATTATTATTTTTCATTAATGTTCTACTTCAAATATTGTACCCAGACAACACACCAAATCCCAGAGATATCCACAGCATATCTTTTGTGGATATCCAATATATCCACAGGATATCAGAAATATTCCGTGGATCTAATATGGATATCCAAATGTCCGTCTATATCCAGAATATAGAAGATATCCTATGGATATTCAGCAAAATATCTAATGAGTATCTTCCAGACAATACAAGAAATCCCAGAGATATCCACAGAATATATTTTGTGGATATCCAATATGGATATAGAATTCAGATATTCAGCAAAATATTTTATAGGTATCTTTAGTAGAGGTTCATAAGTAACCAATGATTATTGAATAACCTCGAAAGAAAATAGAGATAAAAAATATT